GATTGACATACTCCTTCATGAGCTAATCAATCGTTGCAACATAAAAACTGTTAGAGGGATCTAAAAAGGGAATAAAAGAACAAGACAGAAATATAAAAGGAAGTAATAGAGAGAGAAAAGTGATAGAAACAAAGTAAAATTAGATGTAGAAGAAAAAAGATGAAAAAGAACAAAAATCAAAGGAATGAAAAAAATATAAGGAAGTTTGAGATAAGGGGAGAAGCCTCAAAGTTATATTTAGCATAATTGTGCTATAACCAATTCATAATAAGTTTGAAGTCAAAAGTTTGACTTGGCACCACTTGTAACGGCTTTAGCTCAAACTCGAGATCACCTACACATACAACTAAGTCTGCTTTATCCCATGCATATGCATGTCTACGGCCATTGTTATAAGAATGAAAATTGGCTCTACCACACGACACAAATGTAGATAGCAACGTATGTTAACAAGCCAAGTAATAGAAGATAAACTGGAGTCTATGTCACCCAATACAGAGAGAATAATAAAAAACTTTTTGTTATAAAAACAAGCTTGGAAAGTAAACACTAGATGAACTAATGCCAAATGAACCCCTTGATGATACTCCCAAAAGAAATATGGAGGTGGTCATTAACTCATTTATGCAAGGATTGTTCACTACTTATGTGACTCCTCGTTTTTTGAAATCATCTTGGTATTTAGACCTTCCACTATACTAGCACCAACAAGACATTATTACCTAGGAAATGGAGGTCTCCAATTCAGAAAATGCCAATAACACTAATAAGTGTAACCAATATGCTCAGCAATGGACATCTGTCGTGAATGTGACTTCGGGTATCGAAAGTTACCTGTCGGCCAGTCCTTATGGACACTCTTTCTTTACTGCCACGATGGCAGGAGGTCAGTATTGCTGGACCCTTTATTAGTCCCTCTTGTGCTAGTGAAGTTAACTGGGCATTTTGAGTGTACTTAGACTGGACGAGCATAAGGAATTCCTATGTGTTATTAGCTAAGCATACTTAGCCTGGTAAGGAGTTCCGGTCTCTTGTGTCTTGCACTAGCTAGTGACAAAAACCCTCATATATTGAGATTAGTCTCTCAATATCGTTGAATGATAGCTTACCGTGTCTGCCAAACATCATGCTCTTTGTGTTAGTTTCATTTTGGTCCCAAATGCTAATTATGGAAAGTGTCTAGATTCACTTATTTGGCATATCTATGGAATATAGAAATTGTCCTGAATACAATGGTGTTTGTCCCGTGTCCAAATTCACAATCTAGAGACATTTCATATTTAGTAAGTTTCGAGCTTATCCCAGAAACTAACTCCTGATACTAAGGGAGGCTTGGGGTGAAAGCCCAAAGCGTGTGTTCCTTAAAAGGGGGGGGCGGGGGGGGGGGGGGGGGGGGCTATGGGGGTTCCAAATGTATAGTAGGGATAGTGGGTTGGTCAGGCATGGCTGACTAACCTAAAGCATAGTTTAGCTTCGGCTTGTATGCCTCTCCTTGTTATGCATTTAACTTGGGTTTAAACTCAAGTTCCACACCATGCTAGCTGATGGAGTACTCATGTCTTTGCGTTAGGCCACTAGTATGCCGAAATAAAGCTAGACTCTATTTGGTTTTGTTTTGTGTGCTGGTCTTGGCATAGGGATGCTAGATATTCTAGGATTGTTCCAAGTTATTGCGTGCTCCTGTCCCTTCACTCCTTGGGCTATATGCTCATAAGTCGTTTCATGCTCCAATACTATTACTCTTTGGCTCTATACTTGGGAGTTTGGTATTGTTTCTTCATTCAATGGCCCAAGGTCCTAAAACTCAAGTTTCACACCACTATCCTTTGGACATATGGCATGTGACACATGGCATATGACATGTGGCACATAGAGGGTTTAGAGGGTTTAGATTCCACTTCCGTGGTTATCCTATGGTAAATCACCATAGGATAAAGGGTAAAAACTTCGTGCACTACAACATCAAGATTACGACCATCTCTTCACCCTTGTCCTTGAACTCGAGTAATAGTAGCATTAACCTCCATTAGAACAAGACCATTATCCATAAAAAGTGAAACTGAAAGATGTATAGTGAGAAGTGGAAGAAGCGATATGTAAGTTATTTAAACCCAAGGATGCTTGACCTTAAGTATCCCAAAACCTTTAACCAATTGAAAAAAGGGATGCACTTTTATTTATAGGCATTTTTCCTTTATATTTGAACCTTTACAAATTGTCTTTTCAAGTCATTCTTTTTTGTTTCTTACACTTTTGTGTTTGTAGCAAGCAAGTGATGAAATCCATAAAAATACTATATCAACAACTTTAAGAAATAAGCAAAGATTGTAAAAGTCCCCTTGGCTTTTCATATGGTATCTTTACTCATTGACAAAGCTCACATGAATTGCAATATGTAAGAATTGCAATAAAACTTGTGTTTAATTAGTTTGTATGTCTTCTTCCCCTTAAAATGACTGGCCTCTAGATAATCATGATAGTGAAATAAAACTTGATTAATCAATGTATTCACTCATGGTAAATACATATAGCCATTGTAGTAGAGAATCCTATCTACCATTGGAAAGATGCTTTTATTTGGGCCTGCAAATAAACCATCTTAGCATTTTGAGCCTAAGCATGTTTAAATAACTATCTAAAGCTACTAATCACTTTACTTAAATGATGACAAAATTGTGATTGTAACTTTGTTATATGACAAATATGAAATAACACATCCAATATTATATTCAATTTCCCTAGATGATACTCAATAGAAAATCCCCTAAACTCTATAAGTTTAACTATCTAATAAGTTTTTTAGAATTCAACTCCTTTTATGTGAATAGATATACAAGAATTTTATGATCTATCAACACTTTGAACATTGTACCATGAGATGATGCCTTCACATCCACAAAGCATGAACAATAGAAAGTAACTTTTCTTCATATGTGGAATATCATTGTTCCACAAGATTCAAAGTTCTAATCTCATATTATATGTCATTTTGTAAGGTTTTGATGAATTGGCAATGCAAAGCACTTGAGCCTTACTCAACAACTATTTCAATACTACAAGATTGACTTTTTATGACTTCTTTCATTCAAATGACACATTTTTATGCAACAACTATATCAAAAGAATAACCACCTCTAAAAACTTGCTTTGGAAACATTAGTAATAATTAGCCATACCAAGGAAATTATGTAATTCGGCCACTAAAGTCAGTGTAAGCTAGTTTTCCATCATAACCACCTTTTATAGACTTATTTTGACACTCATAAGTGTCATAATATAACTTAGATACTCCACTTCTAACTTTGTAAATTCACATTTACTATTTTTTATGTAAAGTTTACTCTTACATAGTAATAAGGGACTTTTGTGTAAATGCACCTTATACTCTTCCATATTTTGTTAAAAATAAGAATATCATCCAAAAAAATGTTCATAAACTCATGTAAATAATGGCTAAATACCTTTGTCATCAATTGAGTAAATGTGACTGATGCATTCATCAAACTAAATGGCATAACTATGAACTTAAACTGCCCGAAGCTTGTGTTAAATGCTATCTTAGAGATAGACATATCATTCATTGCAATCTAATGATATCCATTCTTTAAATCAATCTTGGTAAATATTTGGGATTGTTAAGTTTGTTTAAAGTATCATCCACATATAGCATTGGCATTTTATCTTTCACTATTTTCTTATTTGATGCATGGTAATCAATATATATTTACATTAAACCATCCTTTTTTTCACAGCAAAGATGGTGCACCAAATGAAGACTTACTTGGTTAAATAAATCCAAACTCAAGTAAGTCCTTGATTTATTTTTAAACTTCTTGCTTTTCTATATATCTCAGCGGAAATAGACATCAATAAATTAGTTCGGTCCTTACCTTTAATATAATCTTATACTCCACATGTTATAATGGAGGCAACCTATAAGGAAATTTAAATGAAAAAACATCATTAAACCCTTAAATACATCTCACATTTCTACCTTTTCCCTAGCTATGAATTTGTCCCCTAAGTCACAAATAAACAATAAATAACTTGAAAGTGTTATTCCATTATGACAAACTTATTTCAAAAATGTAGTAGAAAGTATAACAATTGTAAGCTAAACTCCCTCTCTAAAGTATATATCCTTGATGCCACTGTACTGTAGCAAAACATATTTAATGTTCCACTTCATTTCCAAATCCACCTTTGCCAACTATAACATCTCAAGAATAAGATCCATATTATAGATGTCTATGAGATAAAAACTTTTATAAGTGTAGTTTTGCCAACTAACACTTTTAACCCCTCTACACAAATATTGAAATGTTATGAGTAGTTGCACTTTCCACTCTATATGAAAGAACTTCTCATATCACCAAATTGTGATTCTCAATAAACATTGCTGAAACAAAGTTATCATCACTCCCATTATCTTATAAAATTCATAATAAACTCCTACAAAATATGTTTTCCAGTATTAAAGTTGATGCACAAATGCCCTTAACCTTTATCATTTTACACATAGTTATGTTGATGAGCAATGATTGAAATGTGCTAATAAGAATGTCATAAGAGATAATATAATGTATGGAGGTGTGGGAGCTTGCTAGATTCAGCCAAACTCTTGTCGGAGGTGGCTAAGAAGGACTTGGCATCATGCCATTGCCACTTACACTTACCATGGACGAAGCAATGAGTCATCAAACTCCTAGATCAAATGCAAGGAGAAGGAGAAGATAACTTTCCTCAAAGATGGAGTTTTGATACACTACAAGGTTGTCTAGTGTGGATACAAGGGGACCATGGTGGTGAGCTTTAAACGCTAAAGCTTTTAAGTTCACTTAGTCTCTTAGTTCTTTGCTATACTTTCCTGGAACAAAATTCATCCAAAAAAACAGTCCCATTGTTTGGATCCATAAGGTGCATTATTTAAAATTTTATCAGTTAAGAAATCTTTAAAGAAGCAATATAATTTTCTCTTCATATATACGCATTGTTGAGCCATGGTTTCTTCTACCTGGCAATGGAGGAAATTTGACGCGGCTCCATCGCCATCGCCACCAGCGCCTGGCATTCCCGCGATCGCAAGCTTTATCAAGCACTGCTCCTCCAATCTCGCCGGCCTCCGCAAGGTCCATTCCCAGATCAAGCGCAGCGGCATCGACTCGAGGGATCGCTACATCGGCAACCTTCTCATCGGCGCCTACAGCAGCCATGGCGACGAGGGCGGCATCGCGGACGCCAGGGCAGTGCTCGTGAACCTGGCCCGCCCCAGTGTCAAGTCGTGGAACATCTTGATCGCGGCGTGCGTGAGGCAAGGGCAAGAGCGCGCGGCGCTGGAGCTCTACGCGGCTATGAATTGCGAGGGAAGGACGCGCCCGGACGCGATCACGATGGTAAGCATCCTCAGCGCTTGCTCCATTCTGGGAGAGCTCGGCGCAGGGAAAGCTCTTCACGAGAGGATCCTCGCTGATGGTTTCGATTCCAACGCGATCGTTGCCACGGCTGTGGTGACGATGTATTTCAAGTGTAGCAGCATCGATCGAGCGAGGAAAGCATTTGACGGGATGAAGAACAGGACTGTCGTGTCTTGGAACACGATGATCACAGCATATGCCCACAGAGGGGATTTTTTCCAGGCAATGTTTCTCTTTGAGAGCATGGATCTGGAGAGGGATTGCTTCACATACTCGGCGATTCTGGGTGCCGCAAAAGATCTCAAGGCCGGAAGGAAAATCCACCAGATGATCTTGGCCTCTGGAATTCGCTTGGACGTGGCAGCTTTCAACGCTCTCGTGAGCATGTATGTGAGAGGTGGAAGCATGGGCGAAGCGAGAGAGGCTTTCGAGTCCATGACGATCAGAGACATCGTTTCCTGGAACGCTATGATCGCTGGTTACGTCCAGTTTGGTTATGGAGTCCCTGCGATCGAGCTCTACGAGAGAATGGTTTCGTCTCCTCGTAAGTTGTTTCTCTTTTCTTTATCCACTTTCTTCTTACTTCTCATAGCTTGATCCAGAAAAACCCAACGCGATCACTTACGCCAGCGTTCTCGCGGCTTGCTCGATCGCTGGAGATGCCACCAAAGGGAGAAAAATCCACAGCAAAGTCGCTGTTTCCGGGGCCTACGATTCTTCCATCACCGTCCAAAACGCGCTCGTCAACTTTTATGCAAAGTGTGGCAGCTTTGGCGAGGCCGAGTCGGTGTTCGGAAGAATGCGCTTCAGGGACTTGTTCTCGTGGAACTCGATGCTAGCGGCGTGCTCCAAGCACCAGAAGTGTGATGCCATGGAGCTCATCCTTCGGCAGCAAATCCTCGAGGGGTTCCAACCAGATCAAGTGAGCTATACGTGCATCCTCCACACTTGTTCTCACGTCGGGCTGCTACAGCAAAGCTTGGAACACTTTAGCTCGATGCTCCAAGATCACTATCTTCAGCCAGTTCCGGAGCACTACAGATGTGTTTTGGATCTCTTGGGACGAGCGGGGCTGCTTTACGAGGCCGAGGCTTTGATCCAGAGCATGCCATTCCAGCCGGATGAAGTTGCTTGGAAGTGTTTGCTCTCGGCGTGTAACAATCACGGAGATGCCGATCGAGGAGCCACCATCGCGAAGCAAGTTCTTCGTTCCGAGTCTGGGAGGTCAGCTTCTTACGTTCTCGTCTCCCAGACCAGGTGAAGAAGGCAAGGCTGTCAGCTCCGGCGCTTAGAGGTATTTCTCTTGTTATTTCTCGTTGTTTCTATTGATCATTTGTGTTGTTTTTCAGGATAGCGAGAAAAACCTCAAATTGTCGTGAAATTTTCAGGCATAACGTCTGCTCCAATCTTCTATTGTTCTTGATTCTCTATACATAAAGAATCAACTGACTCTATATATAGTCAGTGTTTGCAGATAGCTGCGCGATGAGAACAAAATCTCGCAGGAACCAAAGGTACATTTACATTTGTAAGCATTTCTTTTGCGTTTCTTCCTTTTTGTTTATTCCAGGTTCTCATAACATTGCTGTAGGAGAAACAAGACAGCGGGATTGTCATTGTGCTTCAAGTTTTCAATCACGCGTAATTTCCTACGTGACACGCCTTATAACTTCTTAGGACCGGGTTAGTTCGCCACAGTTTTCTTCCTCGGAACTGTTCATAACCAGGAGGTAAAGTTTTGCTATTTTTCTTTCCAAGTCCGAAGCTACAGTATATATCTGCGTAGATTTTTACTACTCTAAATTATTCATTTTCATTTTCTTCGCAATGTACTGAGAAAGACATTATTTTAAATCTTTTGAAATAATCATAGTAATAGGTTATTAAATAAATTGTACTGTTATTTTTTAATGCTGATTAAAATATAAATTTCCAAAGTCATCGCATTTCCACATGGACTCCTTTGAAAATTCGAATGCTGTTCTTTCTCGCTTTGTGGCAGATTTTTAGTTAGCTGCCGTTTTCTGTAACGTTGTTTGCCGCACCAAAGCCCACTCACTTACAACAAGAAAACGTGTGGACGCCCCCTTAAAACGGGAGTGGTGCGCGAAAGAAAGCTAAACGGTTTAATGGCAAGAATTGGGAGCTCCAACGAGGAAGCCTTTGCTCTTCTCGCAATCCTCGCAAGTGTTCTCGCACTGCTCTTCACGCCTGCGACTGGATCGAGATCCAAAAATCCTCCCAATGCTGTGGCGATCGATCAATCTTTGTTGGTGGAGTTCCAGGAGGCCGTCCCATTCCGGGACGTGTACTCAATTCTTTGGGGCCACAGCAACGCCAACGAGCTGGAAGATGGAAAGAGCATCCAGCTCGTGTTGGATCGACACTCAGGTAGAACTCTTTTAATTCTGGAATTGGATATCATGATCAAGCTTCTATAGAGTTTTTCTGAGAATTTCAACTTGCAGGATCGGGATTTAAGTCCAAAGAGGCCTTCCAGGGTGGATTCTTCAGCGCGTCCATCAAGCTCCCGTCAAACTACACGGCCGGGGTCGTGACAGCATTCTACGTAAGTGACAAGTAACATAACCAAAGTTTTCAAGTTTCGTACTCTTTTCAGGCATCGAATTCGGACAAGTTTCCGGATAAGCACGACGAGATCGACTTCGAGTTTCTGGGCGTCGTCCCGGGCATGCCGTACGTCCTCCAGACCAACGTGTACGGCAATGGAAGCGTGCGTACTGGACGGGAGGAGAGGATACGTCTCTGGTTCGATCCATCGCTGGAGTTTCATCGCTACAGCGTGCTCTGGAACCAACATCACATCGTGTAAGTTCTCAAATCTCTCTTATGGTACATAAATAATCCAAGGAAAGTCAGAACTTACTCTTGAAGAGGTTTCAGGTTCTTTGTGGATGATGTTCCAATCCGGCAGATGATAAAGACCAAGGAGGCGGAAGATTACCCGTGGAAACCCATGTCCGTGCTCGCAACTATTTGGGACGGATCAAACTGGGCTACGTCCGGTGGAAAGTTTCCTGTTGATTACAATCGAGCGCCATTTGTTGCAAGCTTCACCAACCTCAAGCTTTTTAGGGACTCGTCAGTCTATAGCATCAACGACAGGATCAGTGAAGCAGAATTTGGCAAACAAGGTTTGAGGGGCACGCAAAAGTCGAGGCTAGCTTGGGTGAGGCGCAAGTTTTTGAGTTACACGTATTGCAACGATAAAATGAGGTATCCAAAACCATTACCAGAATGCTGAAATGTTTGTTCATGAGAGGAAAAATTTATTGAAGTTTTAAATTAAAATATTCTTAGAATATTTTGAAACGACTAAGGATTTAGATATCCAAGAAAGCTATCTACACTACAGGTAAATCTGCTGAACCCCTGTAGAGGTCTCTACTAGGGTGGGCTTTGCTTCACCGCAGGCCTGTTTGCAGAGAACTTGCCTTCTGAGCAGAGCAGACAGAATTACTATTGCCAGCTTGGGCAAATGACCTTAACAAAATAACAGGCTAGAAACTTTGCCTAAATTGATTATGATTTTGCTATTTTGACTATTTGACTAAAATAATGTGGATCCATATGTGCAGACAAGGTGTTGTAGAATTGTGATGTATTTATAAGCTTTGAAATCCAGCACCTAAATTGAATGGCTGTGAGAGTGTTGACCCTCCCAATAGCAGCATTCTCTTTTTCTGAAATCATACTAAAGCACACTATCAAGCCAAGGTACACTTTGAGCTCATGAGCTCAGCTCAAAGCTCAAAAAATCTATATAAAACATTGGTTTGTCATGAACCAGTGTTTTGGTAAATATTAAAATTACATATAATATATTTTTATTTATAAGTTTTGACATAAAAAACATTAAAAAAAATCTGAAGGTTAAATAAAAGAACTGCCATGCTAAAAACACTTTGAAAGCTCTACAACTCTAAAGTTAGTCTAAGGGGGTCAACCTTAAGACCTTTATTCAGTTCCTTAATGAAAATGTAGTAAATATACTTGCAAGCTAAATATATTTTTCCCTGAGTCTTCCTTTGGACAAAATCTTGACAAATGCAAGATGAATGTTCACTGATCCAAACAATGTAATTTGCACCTTCTTTCATGATTCTGAGATGACAACAAATTCCTTTACCATAGCACTAATGTAACTTGTCTTTGAGATCTTGCACTTCAATTCCTTTGCAAGCTTGATTTTATCATGTGTACCCTTTGAAATGGATAATTTGTATTGCATAACCTTCCCATTTCTAGCTGGTCTAATGTTTCATTTGTGGCATGACTACTTCAACAACAACATTTGATGAGGTCTTCTGTTTAAACCCTACTCTCTCTAGACTTGCAATCTCGTCTTGTATAAGGTTACAACTAGGCTCAAGGCCAATGCTTTAGCAAGGAATCTGACTTTGAGATAATAGAATTGTGGATTCATTGTGTATAAGTTATATATGTTCTGCAGTAGTAAATTCAAACTGTAGCAAAGGCACTTTGCACCTAAGTCTCAACTTCCTCAAAAGCAAGGAACTGGTGAAGATTTTAAGCTTGAGATAGACCTGAAAAATGTTAAGCACTGACCCTAATTGACAATAATTCCAAAGCAATGCATTACTCTTACTATTGATTCTTTGTATGCCCAACTTGTGTGAGGTACTAGCTTGCAAGCTATGACTCGCTCAACCTCTGGTATTGGATCCACCTCTGTTCACCCATATTTTTCTTTGACATGGTACTAAATGATAGTCAAACTTTGGTCAATGTGAGTTAGAAGGATTGATATCTAGCCTCTGACAAGTTTGTTGGCACTTCATATAGGTTGTTTTATATCCCCAAATGGAGTGTAACTGAATTTTATAGATGTCCCTATAACAACTTCCTCCACTATCTTAGACAATGATTCTATTGTTGGTGTTGTTCTACTACCCATTGGTTCCTAGAGCCCATCTAAATTTGGATTTGTACCTACAATCCTCGCTTCTTGTGCAGCAAAAGCCTTTGATGATTGCTTAAGTGATTTAGTAAGATTAGACAAAGTTGCTTCATAAAGGGATATTTTTCCTTTATTAGCTTTTGATGATTGTCAACTCCAACTTGCTCTCAGATAGATTAGTGGTTGATGTTAATGCTATATCATCAAGTAGTTGATCCTAATAAGAACACAAATATAAATGTGAGTAAAAATAGATTAACAAGCTTACATAGAGAATGTAATGGCTCCATTGGAATATATAAACTTCCCACTATACCAACCAACATTCCATTTATAGAAGTTGTTGACTTGCCACCTTATTTCTTTCACACCACCATAAACTCATTTGTCTTGGCATTATACTCCTCTTTGGTTGGAACTTCCTTCCACTCACTACAAAATCACTTGAAATCCTTATACAATTCAACCTTGATATATTGGTAATACTTATGGACACTTTTTTCTTAATGAAACTCACAACTCCTTGTAAAGGTTGGTTTTTATCTCCACCAAAACTTCACACATTGTCAACTAGTAAGCTCCAACGGCATCTACCATAAAACTATAGAAGTTTTGTTTTTTCCCAATTCACTATTCAACCACTTCAAACATAGAGGTCCATAACATATATTGAGCTATAATAGTAAACTTTAAGAGCAAATATAAATTTGCAAGGTCAAAAATGAAATATATAGGCCATATTATGACATCTATAGTGCCTAGATAGATCTAAAGAAGGTAGCTATGGTGGAAAATTAGCTTACACCAACCTAAGTGGCTAAATTATATAGTATGGTTAATTTCTAAATCAAGTTTGGGGAGGTGGCTATTCCTTTGACACAATTATTATATAATAATATACAAATTGAGTGGAACAAATCACAAGAGGATAATTTTATGGAGTTGAAATGGTTATTGAGCAAAGCTTCAATTTGTAAACAACAAAAAAGAATGACTCAAGAGGCAATTTATAAAGGTTCAAATATAAAAAGAAAGGGCCTATGAATGAAGAGTCAAAAGTTTACATATTATTTTGCATTGTTAATCCATCAAAACCTAGTGATTATACATAAGGGGTAGTCTATTAGATATAAGAGTAAGACTCTATATATGAGTAAGAGTTGCTTTCAATTATTCATGTTTCATAATCATCCAAATACTAGCCATTTTGGAGGGAAGAAGATATATAAGCTAATTAAGTTCTCAAGGATATCTAGTTTATCAAATAACACAAATTTGTCATTCTTCAAATTTGTAGAGGCATTCATTGACAAAGCCTTTGCATGGACATCAATGATAAAGCACTTGAAGCTAACAAACTCTTTAAGCTCATCCAAGAGATTTTTGCATAACTTTAGGAATGAAATAGATTTCACTATCTTTGATAAAGTATCAGCCAATTTATTGTCACTTCCATCCTTTTATCAAATCTTAGTATATAAACTTCTCAAAAATCCTTATGACGGCTAAAATACTTAAAATACTAATGGTCTAAATTCATATGGAAGTCCAATCTATATAGATAATATTGTTATTCTTTCATAATAGCAATTACAGCATGCAACTCTTTATCTTGAATACACTAATTTATTGTATGGCATCAAAAACTTCCCCTTTACCTATCCTTTTACCATTGGTCTATACAAAGCTTCTTAGCTTTATAAGCATTTCCATTATTCAAGCCCTAATATAACAATGACTAACAACCCTAGGCTAGCCATATAATAGTCTTAAATTATTCATATGGTTTGAGCTCAATCAATATCAGCCTCTCTTAGTTACTCCAAGTGAGCTAGCAAATCCATCATACAATAGAAGTTTTCCACATTTGGAAAGATCTTATGGTTGCCACTCATCAACACAAAAAACTTGTCACAACTTGGTTGGCTAAGATGTCTAGGACACTATTTT